CAAGGGATACCATACTTAATTGACAAAAACTATATTACCGCAGGCAAGGTCACGAAGTAAGGCTCTTATTTTCACTGTAATTCAAAAACATGACTTTATTAGACCTAGATGTTGGCAGATTCGCGCACGCATCTCTACTTTGGTGGAACTTATCACGGATTTATATTTTTTAAAAGCACATTAATTAATAGTATTAATAAATCAATTCAGTTTAAAAATAAATTATACAAAGCTCTTTAACCTTTCCATCAATTTTTTTTACAGCAGTCAAGTCTTAGAAAATATTGAGATTGTACACGGCCGTAACATATAAAATATGTTATGCATTTATAATAAAAGAATTACCACATAAACTTATTACAAATATTTTTTTTTTCTAAAATTACCATTCCTTATAACTCAATGTTTGGTCTACACTAAATAATTGATAGTGTTGCGCACGCGCCGGCCGCCATTCGTTCGGCATTCAAATAATAACCGTTATTGTAGAACTTCAATGTATTGTGATTAGGGTTACACTCACAAAGGGCACTGACTTTTACTTTGATTATGTAAATATTAAGAAAAAATACTTTTAGAGTCATACAGGACTGTTAAGGTCATAATTTCTGTACAATAATGGAATAATGTGGCGTTATTTGTGGCGTAGTACCTGTGATGATTTAATAAATAACCAGTACGTCTTTGAGAAAGTCAGTCGTATCTTTTTTTCTTAATTTTAAACATAGATATGACAATACAAAGCGCATCGTAATAAAAACAATTATCTAAAGTTCGTTTGGGAAGAGGTTTTGTACGTTATTTTTGACGTAAACAAGTGCAAAATCCCAAAATGAAATCACTGCAAATAACTGTACCATTCGCCAAAAATCAGCCCAAAATCTGTGTTAGTCTGAGTGTGATAACCCTGCGGGTGCTATAAGCCCGGCTCGACTACATATCGCATTAGCGCCGCTTCCGGTCCGGCCCGGATGTACAGCTAAGTTCTGCAAAAGTCGGCGCTCCGTTCGCAGATTTTCGCTTTAAGTTGGATTTTGTTTGGCGCTGGTTATCTCGCCAAGCGTCTATCACAAAATAAAACTTAAAAATAAATTGCTACAATATCTACTTCTTTATTAAACGAGAGAGAGATTAAGGTTAACTAAACTATACTAAGAAGCTAAATATTTGGTTTTTCTTTTAGTTGAACGCCTAATCCATCTTACTGTAGGAGAAACTTACGGGAAATTATAAATCTGAAACTTGTAATTTAAAAAAAAAGATACAGTAATCATTGTTCAATGATTAAACTTTGATTTGGGTTTAGTTGTACTAGAGCAATTTTCGAGATACGTAGAAACAGGGGATCTGCGATCAAGAAATGCAGATCAGCAGCAACATATTTGTTGTTGACTATTAACATATTTATTTAATAAAGGTTAATTAGAATTAGTTTTTTTTAGTAATTTTGAAATTCGTAAAATAGTTATATTCTTTAAAATTTCTAACTTTCTGCACTTCTCCGATCGCAATTTTTTTATTAAAATGCATACAGCCTATACTCTTTATATATTATTATATAGATTATAAACTCAAATTAATTGGTCCGAAATGCAGGCAATATTCTTTTATTTTACTCAGTACAGTATTAAAAACTCACCTTGTTTCATCCTTATATTCGTCTTTGTTAAGTATCGATTTACGAAAGTTTCATTCTTTTTAAAGCTACACTTACACCACAACACACAACTATTATATTCCAGTATAATTTAGACATCGATAACATCAAAACATCTAAAACAAACTCTGTTACAAAATTATATTCTCCTAATTAACTTAATCGATACTTAACAAATTAAGCTTGTAACTTGAAGCTTAATTTGCAAACTGAAACCAAGTTAATCTGGTATCATTATTATTGACAATTAAACTTGAAGTTATTTGATTAAAGTCAATCTTGGGAGTTTGGCGGGACTTCGAGAAACTTTCCAGTTATGCTACAAGTTAATGGAAGCTTTTCATAATGTCTTACAGCCTTGATGTAACCCGGCGGAGGTCTGGCTATGACATAAGTGATATTTTTTGAAAAGTCATTACGTCCAGTCTCCTTCTTTCTTCCTTCTTATACCATAAAGGTTGGTAAACCTTTGATGTTTCCTCATAAATACCATTAAGTGCGACTGCAAATAGAAGGTTGTCCTATCTAATTTTACCCAGGGGTCCAGTGGACGGGCACGCAGTTATTGAGGCGGTAAGACCTGTTATGGAGGATTGGCTCGAGAGGAGTCCCTCTCATACCGGCTGACGCAGGTGATCACCGGGAAAGGTTGTTTCGGAGAACACCTGTGCCTGACCCGAAGGAGACAACGCCTGAGTGCTACCACTGCGATGGCCGGACCGTGGACACGGCCCTCTACATGTTGGCAGAATGCCCGGCGTGGGTGGAGCAGAGGCGTGACCTCGTGGTGGCCTTCGGCGTGGCAGTCCTCTCACTCGGTAGTATGATTGCCGCCATGGTACATAGCGAGAGTGCGTGGAACTCCGCCGTCTCCTTCTGCGAGCAAGTTATGCTTGCGAACGGCCTCCGTCCTCCATAAGTGCAGGCCTGGGGATAACAGGTGAGTCCATCTGTCACCCTAGCAGAAGCAGGCCGGAGTGGCGGTGAGACGGTGAATTTAATATAGATTTTCTCATCGTTCTTTTTTCTATTTTTCGTTTGCAATACTTTTTTCATATGAAATTTCTATTTGTAACTAAATAATGTGCTCGCACTCGAAATCGACTAAGTTGAGTGTTTAGACAGATTAATTAATATACTAAACGATATTTTTATCATTTTCACGTATTTGTGGAATTTTTATAAATAACTAATTCTTTAAAAAAACTCGTGGACATTTCAAAAGCCCAACAAAATTGTGAATATCTCAATTTAACATAGTGATTTAAAAAAATATGAACACTAATAACATCTTAATCCTAGTTACGGTGTCAACATGTTTGTCTTTTGGCTTTCGCCTATGACTTCACTTATTTTAATGTAGAGTCAAAAATCTAATCGACTAATTAATAAATAACAAAATAAATTCAATAGAACCCTGTAATATTGACAAATAATGTTGTTGATACATTTCAGTCGGTGCCCTAAATACCAGGTCTGACGGTGTTGCCACTACAAATTAATATGAATTGGGCAAATAAATCAGTGTCAATCAAATATTGAAATGATGTCTCGTGCTCTTAATATGCTCGTATTTTAAAATCAGTGTATTTGACTTGTAGATTAATTTAATTTAACTTCGTCGAAAAAACATAGATTTTGTATACAGATTACATGAAAGTTTGCAAATGAACACACGGCTTCTGCTTTACGTGAGCACTGAATGAAAAGAGGAACAAACCTCGTACTGAAGCAGAAGCTGAGAGTTTAGAGAGATTATTATACTGAACGACGTTTTTATCATTTAGACGTATTTGTCGATTTTTTATAAATAACTAATCCTATAGAATATCTCAATTGTGAATATCTCAATTTAACATGGTGTTTTAAAAAAAATGAACACTAATAACATCTCAATCCCAGTTACGGTGTCAACATTAAAACCCATTTATTACTAGAAGATTAAGTCAATCAATTCACTATTCCTCGGCAACAGTACTTTTTTAGAGATAGAACATGTAACATTTCATAAATATAGTTGACTCATTAATGCATAATGAAGAAATGAAATATTATTAATAAATTCAACAAAGTGAAGTCACGATACTTTTAAGGGTATCACACAAAATATATAACAACAAAAATCTAGCACACCAAAAGTCAATGAAATGTACACATCTGAAGTTTTATCGCTTCTTACAACATGTACCATAATTAAAACTTTTTTTTCTTCGTAGACCACACAGTACACAATTACATAATAATTTTTTAAATGGTCCCTACAATAACTGGGCAGCATCTTGATACAGGCCAGTATAAGCGCAATATAATTACGGTTGATTAGTGCAAGGCGTGCCGGCTCTTAATTGGGTAATTGTCGTTGTGGAGTCAACTTGTCATATCGCGACGCACTTGTTGTTCAACGGCTTAAATATAGGATTTTTATGATCAGCATAAGTGTGGTATATTGTTAACGACGTTTCTAAACGTGATAAAAATCTGGTTTCTGGACGTATTGCTTAAATTTGTTTGCAAAAAAGCTAACTTTTCTACATATAAAGGAGCTCAACGTGCCGCTCGTCGCACACAACCACCTGTATTTATTACTACCAACATATTTATTTTTTATTAGAAATTTTTTTTTTTTATATCCAATGAGTTTTAATAATTGACTACATGGGTGGCGTAGTGGTTTAAGCAGTCACCTCGCCGCTTCCTACTTCGCTGAGTGTTGTGTTTTCAGTCCCCACACGTCAACACTTTGTGTGATTCACAAATTATTAAGTCTAAGTCTGGGTGTAAAGTTCCCCGCGATACGGTATATTATTCCTAGTTAGAGAGTTGTCCTTTAAAATAGACTAAAATAAAAATTGAATTGTCCTTTATAGACAGGTACATTTAAAAAATGATGACTTTTATGCTTCCATAGATGATAAAAGAATCAGTTGATGTAACATGTATTGTTATAACAATGAATACAATTTATACATAACTTAGACTTTGACTTAACAAAATTGAGCCGTTCTAATTTTAAATAAAATATAAATATTTTTTGGTCTAGGGCTGGAAATTCTTCTTATGAAATAAAATTGAACAATAAGTAATACCTTACTTATTAAATTTCATTTAATTTCAATCATTCTCAGTGTATTCTCGTAACTTACCTTGTATTCTTTACTTGTAAGAGAACACGCGGAATAATTCATATAGTCTGTACCGTATCGTACCTACGTATCATCTTCGTTACATATTTAAATATAAAATCGAAAGTGGGACACAAAGTTGGGATAGTATCAGAGCAATATATAAGCTCATGTTTACACTGTTACCTAAATAAAGTCGGTATTAGACTTGCAAAGAGTACTTACTGGTCAAATGGTGAGAACATATGATGCACAGGCCGCTGATCCATGGCCGCATCTCTGGAACTCGCGCTTCCTACAGATGGCGCGGGCGATGGACAACTAGCTTCAGACCTGAGCAAAAATAAGACGAAACAATCGTAATTGCTAATAGCGTATGTAAAACCTCTAACGTACTAATATATTTATAGAGCATCAAAAATTCATTTGTATTTAAATAACACAATTTGGACATTTGAAAGATTCTCTATTTTAACACGCTTATATTAGCTTGGTATGTATGCATGTATGTGTGTATCTATGTATGTAACGTAATCTTCGAACGTGATTTTGACCCACTTTAAAACTTTAAATTAACTTGTAACTTCTCACACTTATCAAGGACCGATGAAAATACAATAATTTGATGAATTTGGCCAATTATTTATCAATACTCAATACTCAATACTTTATTGCTGTCATGATGTAAATTTTACAGTTGGTAAAAACTTAAGCTAGGTATCAATTATGGACCCTGTCGGGCACAGCATAGAAGAAAGAGAGAGGGGAATGATTATTACTATATTTATTTATAATATATTATTTATATACATTTAATCTGTATAGCCATTTTTTTTAATTTAAATATTTAGTAATTATTTATTGCACTAAGTTTGTACTATTTGTTATAAAGGTTATTAGTATTATTGTGATTTATTTTGTTAATTGTTGCAATTGGTTTTGGTCAGGCTTGACTATGGACTCGAGATGATTTTTTTCTGAAACAAGTAGGTGGTATAATGTTTTATAATGTTGTTAAATGCATTGTCACAAATTGTTTATTTCATCCAGGATCTTCAGGATTAATGGCTTTTTCCATACTTAAAAATACGGTAGTGTTTTTTCCTACGTACTTAGAGGCGGGTGCTGAAGCAAATATGACTTACTTACTTGTTAATTTTTTTAGTGTTTATAAATCATCATTAACGACTAAAGACAGAAATAAATTATAGTTTAAAAAAACAAATATCATTTATTACATTATTACACTATCATTTATTACGTTTAGTATAAAACTATCCAGATGGTCGTGGGAGAGTCATGCTTTGACACAACGGGCCGGCCGTATGATAAAACCCACCTCATAGAAAACCAGAGTTAGCTAACGAGACGAGTTTGAAAACCGAAGGCTCAAATCCCCTCCCTCTCCACAATTCTGAGTGGGGTGGACTGAACTGTCAGCACACACAGGTGTCTCTTGAGTTAACCATGGGCGGCGGTAGTTACGGTTAGTCCTCTGTCTACTCTTTTTGTTTCATTTTCTAATTAGTTTTTCTTCTCCTCTTTACTTTCTTACCTCTCGTGCCTAGGTGATCTGTTAGGCGACCGATTAGGAGATCGCAGGGGTGACCGTCGTGGTGAGCCTGGTGTTACAGGAGGTGATGCTCGGGGAGACGCAGCTGTTCCTGAAACTGGTGAAGCTTCCGCCGACCCTCGGGACAAACCGCATTCTGATGAACCCTGCTTAAACGAAAATTAAAATGTTAACAGGTTACATTTAATTTTATACAAGTATCACTAAATTTTATACAGTTTCTATTATTACTTTATTGATTTATGCCTAACCTGATTTACGCTTAGTTCTCTTTAAGTTAATAGATTTCTGCTCTAAGCAATGCAAGCGTTCTCAGATTTTGAGGATTTCACTAAAATGATATTATATTACACAGTTTGTACCTAGTTTATATGATGCGGCCTATTAATTGACTTCTAATTAAAAAAAAAACCTTTCCTAGATATTAAATGATATTTATTTATAAGATAGTTAGGGTTTTAATAAAACTACAAAAAGCGACAACAACAAAACACAGCTTCAAAATCTTGTTTGTTATTCAGCAGTTTAGCAAAACAAGAGCCAGTGTTTTATCTCACCTTATCGTCTGCCGGGTCCCTCTTAGTCATCACTTCAGTGCCCTCCCTCTTCCGTTGTTCCTCTTTTAGCCGCTCCGCTTTTCGCCACTTCGCACGACGATTTTGGAACCACACCTGATAACAACACATATTATACCGTTATAATAAGACAGTTATATTTATATATGTGTTGGTTGTAACATCTCGACTTTTTTCGGTTTTATAAATACCGTAAATACCGTCCCGTAACCCACTTGAAAAAGGATATCTATGTCCCCATAACTTCAAAATTGATAAAGTTAGATATCAATAGTGTGTGAATAAATACATTGTAATTTAATTTTTAATGTGTAGTAGTTATAATAATGTCCGTGTAGGATTAAGAATACGGAATGTCACTACCCCAATTCATCCCGAGAGCCGACTAAGGGCGCAAAACAACTCAGGACACCAGTACTGCAAAGAAGGAAAACTTGACACAAACCCTACAACAACCCGTCTGGCCAGCGTGGTATAGTAGGCCAAAACCTCCTTTCTAAGGAGAGGCCTATGTCCAGCAGTGGACTATTAAAGGCTGTTGATGTGATGTGAGTTATAATAATACGTCGATATAGTACGAGAAAAGTTCTAGGGCTGCTATATTTTGTACCACTTGTTTTCTTTAATCTGTCGGGACGTAGGTTCGTTTCAAACTAGGATAAATAAAATAGTCTGAATATCAGGATAATTTGTTCCGCGTCTGGGTGAAATTAATCTGTAATATCAATATATGCAGAAATGTTTTAAGTGTGTTATCACTAGCCTGTTTACTATATTACATTTTTTGCCTAATTTTAAAATATTGTGACTTCTGACACAACTCAAACGCCGCTACTGCGGACTAAGTATTTTGTAGCCTAATGCAATAAGCAATTCAAATTAATACTTAGCTATATTCTTAGGATCTAACAGAAATGCATGAAAATATAAAAAGTTTTTAGAACACTGCCACAAAACCTATTATAGAACTTAGTTAATTATACTAGTGTTTTCTCTTCAAAAAATCCATCTCAACCTATATCTAAACGTATATAAAATTCATAAAACCTTTACGCGACAACCTCATCTAAAATGAACATGTTAACACATTTTTTTTAAAGAACCTAATAAAATTTTATTTCTGTCATAAATATGGGTAAATAGAATTTATAGCTCATAAAGAGGGTAATCCTTAATAGGCGAGCTGTCATCGCAGCAACCAGTAACAGCACATCATTACCACCCCACTTTGTACGTATTATAACTCCAAGATTAGAGATCATTCGTATAAGGGAGAAAAACCAAAAGCCTTGACCTATCTTTGAATATATTTTGTTTCATATGAGAGTTCTTCACAAAGTGGCAGCTTGTATAATCTGCCAATTTATAAAGACCTCTGAAATATAAGTGAGTGTGGGCTACGTTAAGTCTTGTTGTTTTGGCTTGTATAAGCCGGTTAGCGAAATACGTCAGGGCCACATTTGCACTGCAATTTTCGCAATTTAGTTTTAATAAGCCTTGTTGGGTAAGTGCTACGAAATCTAGGCATAGATAAGTATATTACGGAGTAATGGCGATAGGTAAAAAGTGTTTGGTGTTATTAAATAAATGATAATAAATTTTAGCTTGAGATTTTTTAGAACACCAAGACCAGACATTGTTTAAAATTAAATTTGAGTAATAAAGAGTACTATTTTGCTCTTATTTCTTGTCATCTATTTAATGTTTTATTTTATTACAAACACTGACGCGAATTCGCTGATAATTTCTAATATAGTATGGAGTCCATATTTTTAGTCATAAAATCGTGACAGTTTTTTTTTTAAATACTTTTCGAGTCTTCTGTGTACCTAATCTTTGGCCCCTCGTACCACTGAGTCCCTTAACGACAGTAAGCTAATTTCGTTAAAATAATAATCCGACCATAATCCCGGGGCCACCCTAATAGTTTTTATCTTCGAGGGTAGAATTAATATTTGAACGTGTCGAACGCCCTACAAACCACCCCTTGTACTGTTGATTTTACTTTGTTATTGAAGTACCAGCTAGTGTGTGTATGTGTTTTGTAGTGTTCTTTGTTTTAATGTTTTTGGGATGGTTACATTATAAATATGAAGATAAAATCTATCGCATTTTTATGAACCGTTTCAAGTCTTAAGCATAATTTAAGAGCAATTAAAAACCGAAGAAAACTAAGATTGTGTGTTCTGAACAATTATAAGTATTTATGTTCCAGGACAAGATAAAACAAAATCATAACGGTCTATGAATAGACTGGCCTGTCGGTGTAGTCGTAAGTGATCCTTAGCCTTAGCCAGAAATGGCGGGTTCAATTCCCACAAAGAATAAATAATAATAATTTTACACATCTCACACACGGCTCATTTTTTTGTTGTGTGTCTGGTTGTATTCTTTCTATAAAATTTATGTATAAACGTTTAAAATATATTAGTAAATTTACCAGCAGTCTAGTTATCATACCATAGGTTCTGCCGAATTTGGGATCATAAGGTAATAATAATAATAATTTACTTTCAAATATATTACATAACATGTTACATTTATTATTTTTATATTATTTAATATTCTATGATATACTTGACTCTACGGATGGCGTAGTGGTTTAAGCGGTCTCGACATCGCTTCCTACTACGCCGAGTGCTGTGGGTCCGATTCCCACATGGGACGACACTTTGTGTGATCCACAAATTGTTGTTCTGAGTCTGAGTGTTCTTTGTGTCCATGTCATGTATATTTGTAAAGTCCCCGCGACATAGGATATGTATTTTAAATGCTGGTGTTGTTTTTATTTTAAATAAAAAGAAATTAATAAATAAACTAATAGTTACTGAAAGATAGAGAAAGAGACTAGTTAAAAAACATGCGGGATATTAATGAATGTTTGTTAGTAATCTGACTGAACCTTCAATAAATCTTCAATGCAAATAGACGTTTCGAGAGCGACCTACGTCCACCAAATATAATCTTATTTCCTTTTAACATCTAGAAGAATGTACTTGTATTTTAAAATTAGTATTATTGATGGTCTTAATATTCATCGGAGCACGTGCGTAATGAGCCTAACTAACTTACGTTGTACCACGAACTTGGGAACCTATACAACAACCCTGGAACAAAAAAAATAAAACAAAAAGACGATTCTGTATAAATATGTATAGTATACATTAATATAATAACGGATTGGACATAAGACATAATAAAAAGCGGTTAACCACGGGCGGAGCTTCGAAAGTGTCTTATTTACTCAAAATATCAATACTTAAAATATTTTCCAATACTTTAAAAAAAAGGTGTGAAATTGTATAACCAATTACCAAAGAATATTAAAGAAGCAAAATCAATGCTAACTTTTAAAAAGCTCTTAAAAAGCCATTTAACATCTAATCTGAGCGCACATTAATATTATACTATTTCACATGTCGCTTCTAGCTACGCTCGATCTGTGTCCACGCATTGTTTGCTCCTTGTTTATGAAAGTTTTTTTACAAGTACTCTGTATATTTTATTTTGTATATTGTATTCTTATGAGAAATGAAGATATCTCAAACCTTACTTTAAACACCCCAAATTATCGATGTCATGATTTAAAAATACAATTCACCCCATTGTATCACAAAAACACATGTCGCCACACAATACACCAAAACCATCGTAACGAGAGCTATTACAACTAATATCATTCAAACAAAATGTCCGACGAAAATTGTACTTTAATGAACTAACACGGGTCTGTCAAAATTGGCGGGTGTTCTCATTAAGGGGAGAATACACTAGGGGTCGATAATTACCTTCTGTTAGCGTGGACTGTTTGCAGTCTTTACACGGTACATTGAGTGTTCTTGTGTTAAATAATAACAAATATTGTACGGTGTAAATTGGGCTCAAGTGTGTGTAGTTAATTACTTCTTTTGTATAAACAATAGGGTGAAGGAAATAAGTGCAGTGGGGCTTTTGTAAAACCTGATTTTGTTTAGTTCCAGAATACGAGTAGTACCTCGTAATATTACTAGTTTCTAGTCATTTTATCATTGGTAAATAAGACTGTTAGTGCAGCGATTAACTAAGTATTAAATAAACATCCCGACTGGTGAGCCAGAGGTCGTAGGTTTGATTCCTATTCTGAATAAATTATTGTTGATGAGTACTATGATTTGTTGTCTCCATGTGTTATATTAATAATATAGATTTAGAGGGGCAAGGTCAAGGCCAAAGGCCAAGGCCAAAGGCCAAGCTGATGATGATGAGATTTGTAGGTATGTTTATCATTATTATGGTTACGATAATACAGTCTTTGCCTGTCTTTAATACAGTTGGTCGTGTCTGCAGTTACGAATATTATTGATGTTTTATTGACTTAAGTCAGTGAATTTATTGATCCTTTAACCATTTACAATATAATACACTGTAAGAAGAAACATACACGAAACGGCTTTACGTGTATGTTTCTTCTAAGAAGGTTCTAAGAAGTTCTTCTAAGTTCTTCTAAGAAGGTTCTTAGAGCGGATTCCTTCAAGTGGATGTGTAAGTAAACCCACCCCAACCACTTGTCCAGAACGGCTGTCTCTTCTGGCCGGTCAATGACTGAATCTATGTGATTTTATTTTTCACGATATACATCACGTAATGTTAATAATCCGACAGCAATTCCTTAAAATCATATATATCTAACCCTAGGAAAACACGCTACCAATTTGCAATAATTCATATGCTTTTTATAAAATATCCCTCTATCTAAACGCTTTACAAAATTGTTCAAGTTATTCTTCAAACCTGCTAAACGCTCGTAAAGAAACCAAACAGAATTTAAAAACAAGAAAAACGAAAGTAATTTTCAGCCGAAACCCCATTTTATAAGTACGTTCAAAGCAAGCAGGTTGAACTGAAAATTAATTTCAAACATAAAAGTTTATAATTCAAACTCGCCACTTTAAACATAAGCTCAGCATGCATCACCTACTTAAAAGTTAGTCCCGCCTAATTACGTCACAGCCAGTAATGTTTTAAAACACTTCATACGAGGAGTTAACGTGAAAGTTAATGTTAAAGTCTCATGGAAATATGTTAAGAAACCGCCGTGAAACTGTTTAAGTAGAGGG